GTATATTAAGCCACAGAGGACTTAAGAGAAGCAATTTCTGACAATGTAATAGCTCTCCATTTAAGAAAATAAAGCCTGCATCAGTTTCCTTTTTATAGTTTCTAATATCTCTATAATGGTGGCCTATAGTGTTTTGTGTAATATGCGTAGAGGGAAGAGTGCCAGGGTTTAATTGTGCAGATCGACTCGGGACATTCCTCACGGATGCCATCCCCACTATTTTTAGCGTGCTCTCTTGGCCTCACCTCTTGAACTTGTTTGAAAAGTGAGTCAACGGCTTGTTTTTGTTCCATCAGGCCATTGTTCATGTGCTGAAAAACGACTAGCAGGAGAGACTCTGTCATCCAACACCTCGAGTTATCATCAACACAGAATAATAAGCTATGATTTAACATTTAAAGTGTTCCAGTGTCTTCCTTGTTTGCTTCAGTGAACCCACATGAGCGGCAGAAGCCCTCCCCAAGCGACAGTCTGACCTCGCGGTGCCCTCATGCCCTAATAATTAAACAGCAAGATGCTAACAGGCTCAGCTCAGCTTAAGAGGCAATGTTTTGGCTTCACTGTTCAAGCTCTAATTCCAAACCCCTTTAAACATGTATGCTGGACGTGTGATTTACCTGTACATATGTGCGAAAGTCATATTTTGTGGAGATCAGTTCATAGTGATAATAAGCTATGATTTAACATTTAAAGTGTTCCAGTGTCTTCCTCGTTTGCTTCAGGGAACCCACATGAGCGGCAGAAGCCCTCCGCAAGCGAATCCATGAAAAGTTTCAGTCTGGCTTCAAACCCATGCACAGCACTGAAACAGCCCTTATAAGAGTTTTTAATGATCTGCTCCTAGCCGCCGACTCAGGTAGCCCAGCTGTCCTGGTCCTTTGACACTGTGGACCATAGCATCCTGCTGTCACGGCTTGAACAGTCCGCTGGCATCACAGGCTCTGCCCTTGCATGGTTCAGGTCCTACCTGACAGACCGTAGCTTCTCGGTACAGCTAGGTGCCTTCTCCTCTGCCAAAGCCCCTCTTACCTGTGGGGTTCCCCAAGGCTCGATTCTGGGCCCCATCCTTTTTCTACTGTACATATTGCCCCTAGGTTCAATTCTCACAAAACATAACATTCCCTTCCACTGCTACGCCGACGATGTACAGATCTATCTGCCTCTCAAAGCAAATGTCAAACACTCACTACAGCAGTTGATGGACTGCTTAGCAGAGATAAAATCCTGGCTGAGCAAAAACGTTCTCAACCTCAACGAGAGCAAGACTGAAGTCATCTTTTTTGGACCGCAACCTCCAGCCTCTCCGGTTGATATTCTGGGCTCTATAAAAAAAAACATCCTCCCCTCGGTCATGAACCTTGGAGTGACCTTCATCAGCACTTTTAAATTCGACAAGCAGGTCAGCACCATAGTAAAATCCTGCTTTTTTTAAAATAAGACTATTGGCCAAAACCAAGTCGTATTTATCTTTTAATGACTTAGAAAGGGTTATTAACGCCTTTGTAACCTCGAGACTGGACTATTGTAACGCTCTGTATGTGGGTATGGACCAGGCCTCAATTAAACGCTTACAGCTAGTCCAAAACGCTGCTGCACGTTTGCTGACTGGCCACAAAAAGCGTGACCACATCACCCCAATTCTGGCCTCACTACACTGGCTTCCAGTTCGGTTCAGAATTGATTTTAAAATCCTTTTATTTGTTTTTAAAGCACTAAATGGGCTGGCTCCGGCCTATATAGCTGAACTCCTCCAGCGCTACACCCCAGCCAGAGCTTTAAGGTCTGCTGACCAGCTGCTGCTGGTAGTGCCCAAGACCAGGCTAAAAACCCGAGGGCACCGAGCCTTCGCAGCAGCTGGCCCTAGGCTCTGGAACACTCTGCCCCTCCATGTGAGGTCGGCCCAGACCCTAGGGGTTTTTAAATCTAAACTAAAAACACACTTCTTCTCTCTGGCTTTCTAGTTAGAGCGGAGCACGACTCCTGACTTTTCCGTGTGTTTTATTTTTATTTTGTTTTTAAGATATATCTGTTGTAATTTATTGTCGTTTATTGTAATTGTAGTAATGTGTTTTTATTACATGTATAGCACTTTGGCTCGACCAAAAATCGCTTTTAAATGTGCTATATAAATAAAACCTGATCTGATCTGATCTGACCTCGCGGTGCCCTCATGCCCTAATAATTAAACAGCAAGATGCTAACAGGCTCAGCTCAGCTTAAGAGGCAATGGTTTGGCTTCACTGTTCAAGCTCTAATTCCAACCCCTTTAAACATGTATGCTGGACGTGTGATTTACCTGTACATATGTGCGAAAGTCATATTTTGTGGAGATCAGTTCATAGTGATCTGGGGCTCAAGTCCTCGTCTGAAATAAAAAAAATGGCAAGACAAAATTACTACCTTTTCTGAAATATGTATTATTAGGCTTATTGAGCATCCTAACATGTCTGATTCAGCAGCTGTTTGTTTCCTTCATATTGTTATCACGTTGCTGTTGTTATTCTGAACAGCATGCTGCTATCTTGGGAAAAATAAAACCTTTTCAGTGTTTAGAAACCGTTGCGACACAGCACAGATAGTTACAATCAGGTGTTGATGAGGGGAAATCTCTGCATCGCACGTCAGAGAGAGTTGCGTTTAATAATCACCAGTTGTGCACATATTTAGCTTTTATCCCTCCTCAGTAGTACCATGAAGTATTTGAGAATGTTTTCACTGATGAATAGCTTTCAACAGAGATTTCCTGTCTAGAGACTTTGAATATTATTGTACACTGAGTCTATTGTGTAGATCTGCTCATTGCAATTCAATCAAATAAAAACACTTAGAATTCATATTTTTCAATCTTATCTCAGCTTTACTTAGATGATTTGACCTTTTTGAGGGTTACGTGTTTGTTCTGAATTTTCTTTTATAACAAGTCTCTAAAGATTGAGCGGGTCTTACAGGGTACGTCTTACTGAGTTTAGAGACTTTTGACGCAGATGTGTGATTTGTGAATTTTGGCTGTATGAACAAAATGAACTTGACTTGTTCAAGATAAACACATCTGACAAAACACATTAAATGATGCCTTTATTTGATATCCAGCTACAGTGTAATCACCTGTGTAACTATTCTTCACTCATGGTTTTAGTGGAAGACGTGTAGTATGCATAAAGTCTGCTCCAATAAAAGAGAGGCATAAAAATACAGTCCAGACTAACTGTATTAGTAGCTTTAGTAGACAATGAGCAATCATTAGTTGTAGAAGACGTGCTCAATCTATTTACTTAATTAAAAGTCCTTTTACCTTAATTAAATGAACGTGATTGCAATCAAAAAGAAGAGAAAACAATCACATGCATAGGTTTTCTTTTCGGAAACAATAACCTCTTTACTGTGAAAAAAACCGAAATCTTCGTACTTAGATAATCCTCACGGATGCCATCCCCACTATTTTTAGCGTGCTCTCTTGGCCTCACCTCTTGAACTTGTTTGAAAAGTGAGTCAACGGCTTGTTTTTGTTCCATCAGGCCATTGTTCATGTGCTGAAAAACGACTAGCAGGAGAGACTCTGTCATCCAACACCTCGAGTTATCATCAACACAGAATAATAAGCTATGATTTAACATTTAAAGTGTTCCAGTGTCTTCCTCGTTTGCTTCAGTGAACCCACATGAGCGGCAGAAGCCCTCCCCAAGCGACAGTCTGACCTCGCGGTGCCCTCATGCCCTAATAATTAAACAGCAAGATGCTAACAGGCTCAGCTCAGCTTAAGAGGCAATGTTTTGGCTTCACTGTTCAAGCTCTAATTCCAAACCCCTTTAAACATGTATGCTGGACGTGTGATTTACCTGTACATATGTGCGAAAGTCATATTTTGTGGAGATCAGTTCATAGTGATCTGGGGCTCAACTCCTCGTCTGAAATAAAAAAAATGGCAAGACAAAATTACTACCTTTTCTGAAATATGTATTATTAGGCTTATTGAGCATCCTAACATGTCTGATTCAGCAGCTGTTTGTTTCCTTCATATTGTTATCACGTTGCTGTTGTTATTCTGAACAGCATGCTGCTATCTTGGGAAAAATAAAACCTTTTCAGTGTTTAGAAACCGTTGCGACACAGCACAGATAGTTACAATCAGGTGTTGATGAGGGGAAATCTCTGCATCGCACGTCAGAGAGAGTTGCGTTTAATAATCACCAGTTGTACACATATTTAGCTTTTATCCCTCCTCAGTAGTACCATGAAGTATTTGAAAATGTTTTCACTGATGAATAGCTTTCAACAGAGATTTCCTGTCTAGAGACTTTGAATATTATTGTACACTGAGTCTATTGTATAGATCTGCTCATAGCAATTCAATCAAATAAAAACACTTAGAATTCATATTTTTCAATCTCATCTCAGCTTTACTTAGATGATTTGACCTTTTTGAGGGTTACGTGTTTTTTCTGAATTGTCTTTTATAACAAGTCTCTAAAGATTGAGCGGGTCTTACAGGGTACGTCTTACTGAGTTTAGAGACTTTTGACGCAGATGAATTTTGGCTGTATGAACTAAATGAACTTGACTTGTTCAAGATAAACACATCTGACAAAACACATTAAATGATGCCTTTATTTGATATCCAGCTACAGTGTAATCACCTGTGTAACTATTCTTCAGTCATGGTTTTAGTGGAAGACGTGTAGTATGCATAAATCCGCTCCAATAAAAGAGAGGCATACAAATACAGTCCAGACTAACTGTATTAGTAGCTTTAGTAGACAATGAGCAATCATTAGTTGTAGAAGACGTGCTCAATCTATTTACTTAATTAAAAGTCCTTTTACCTTAATTAAATGAACGTGATTGCAATCAAAAAGAAGAGAAAACAATCACATGCATAGGTTTTCTTTTCGGAAACAATAACCTCTTTACTGTGAAATCTTCGTACTTAGATAATCTCTAAAAGTTTAATCTTTGCAGACGTTTAACCAGAATGTCCTCTCTTGTTCAATCTTCTGCTGCAGAGAACAGCAAAGACCATTACCAGAGGGTGAAAGTAAAGGCAGAGCCCATGGAGGTGGACCCGCCCCCTGCAGACCGCAGCCCCCCGGCCTCACACCGGCTGGCCTTCAGCACTTTAGGGGCGAGTGAGAAGACGGAGCCATTGAGTAACCTCCCGGAGACGCTGGCCCGCCCCCAGAAAGACCTCTTCTCCCAAGACATATCGGTCAAAATGGCCTCTGAACTTCTGTTCAAACTGTCAGGTATGTTCCTTCCAGACATGTGCGAATCCAGGCACACAGTGTTCTCCGAGCAACAACACACACACACACACACACACACACACACACACACACACACACACACACACACACACACACACACACACACACACACACACACACACACACACACACACACACACACACACACACACACACACACACACACACACACACACACATGCACACAGCAACATGTTTTCTTTTCCCCTTGCAGCGCGGCACTGTAAACCTTGGACAGTTTCTGATACTGGACCATAAAACCCACATGTTTCCATTTCCATCCTCCGGTGGCTCTGTTGTAAAGTCGAGGTTATATACGACATATAATGACATCCTGCTTTTTACCTGTGCGGCCATGAAAGTGACATTGAAGTGGCAGACAGCTGTTTGTATTGCTAGATTAAGACAGAGCTTCGAGGTGGAACCATTGTCTCCCCCCAGGGAAAAGCTGCAGATGTGTGTGTGGGGGGGGGGGGGAGGGGGGTCAGGCTTGTAGTCCTGGGCTGTGACCCCCAGCTCTATAAGGCGAAGCAATCAGAGGCTGGATAGAGGAAGGGGCTTGTGTAAAATCTTTTCCCTCCTCTTGCTCTCACACATATTCACAAATTCACACATTGGCAGTCTTTCTTTCCCACACAGTCTTGCATGCACACCTTTACACGTTCACACACGGCCCCATGGGGAGTGGTGTCTGCACAAATGCCCCCTCCTCCCTCCCTCTCCTCCTCTCTCATTCTCTCTCTCTCATTCTCTCTCTCATTCATTCTCTCTCTCTCTCTCGCTCTCGCTCTCTCTCTCTCTCTCTCTCTCTCTCGACTCGTTTTCAGACATGCCGGCTCAAGCACACTTGGCTGCACACGCTCTCCCCCTGCACTTCCCCTCCTCTCCCTCCTCCCTCCCTTTACATTTCTCCCGTGCGGCATCTCCATGGCAACGTGGAAAGAGACTTCTGTCCTTGGCGAGCGGTGTGACGGAGTGGGGTGTTTACAGGGGGGGGGGTGCAGAGGATAAGGAGGGTAGAGAGGGCAGCAGGGGTACAGAGTATGCCACCCAGGGAGGCCAGGGCATCGCTAGCCTGGCAACAGAGAGCCCCCCCACCCCCCCACCTTTAGAGCCGGGTCTGAATGTGAGGGGGACGGGAACAGAGTGGGCCGCTGTCACACAATGAGCAATCAATATGAATTACCCAGAGCAGGAGGACCTCAGAGACACATCAGTAGCAAGGTCGCTCTGAACACTGAGATGGTTGCAGCTTTGAAATTCCCTTCAGTGCATCGCCTTGAAACTCACTCCCATTCTCATACACAATGTATAGGGCTTTTTACGACTGAAAGCTGAAAAAAACGATACTAGCATTAGTAGATTATAACTGTAGCAATTCTACCTCTTAACAGCTAGGAAATGGCTACTTTGTAGTTCGTAATATGAGCTTCTACTGTGTTGTATCTACAGTAGAGTGATTCTCTCTGGAGGACGTTGATAGCTTCCGTTTAATTTTTTCAGTTGTGTATTTACTGTAGAGGTGTAACAGAAACTGTACCTGCCTTGCACTTGAACAGAATCAACTTCATGTGTGATTAAAGAGTTGGGATCTTAGGTATGAAGACTGTAAAGTTTGTGGAACCTTAAAGGCATCTAGGTCTTTTTGAAAAAACACAGTCATTAGGCGCTTTCACACCAAGTACTTTGCCGTACTTAGTTCATGAGAACACTGGAATAAGTCCCTGAGGAAGGATTAGGCAAATGAAGCCGCTGACGTCACTTCGTCTTCTTCTGCTTTGGGTTTACTGGCAGGCCGCAAACAACTTCACGGCGTATACTGCCACCCGAAGTCCCCGGAGTTGGGGACTGGTTCCCAGCAGCTTCTACTGAAGCCTTCCGAGTGAATCGCCAGAACGCCGACACCTCCTCATCACTCCACCGCTCCCACGTTTTATTTTGTGTTGCCATAAGTTAGTCTCTCTCCGTTGGTGCGCTGGGCTAATGCTAATGCTAATAATGCTAATGCGAGCAAATAAAATGGCGGCTTCACAAAACTTTTTGGGAGTTTTACGGGGCGTGGTTTGCATTCCGCCCAGCCAATCAGACATAGGAACCTTTTTCTCCCAGGAAAGTACCTGCTCTCTAGCAGGGACTGAAAAAGGGGTAAAAAAGGTTCTGATGAACTAAGTTCTAGTTCCGGATTTCTTTGGTGTGAACGCACATTTTCGGAACTATATCGGAACTATACTGGGAAAAGTACTCCGGTGTAAATGCGCCGATTGACACTTTTTTCTCTTTATGTTATTGTTTTTGTAGTGATGTTTAATTCAGTATTTCCTGCACTCTTTTATAGTCGAGGTGGCTTACCGCCTCACCTTAAACAAAAATGGCCAGGAGAACATTTCACTTCCTGGTGAATATAGTACTATCATTATTAAGCGTCTTAAGGTGTCATAATGCGCAGGTGATTGGTTGATCGATCACCGATATTGTTCTATCGGAAACAAATACATATTTTACGATAGGATGTAGAGAAGAACTGAACAGCTAGTTGCACTCAAGTGTTGAAGTGTGCAAGAGAAAAAGCTCTTAAAAAAGGTTTTCACTGATGAATAGCTTTCAACAGCTGTTTCTGAAGACTTTGAATATTATTGTCAAAAGGAGTCCTCGTCTATTATGTGGATCTATACATTGCAAAGTAAAAACCTTGGAGTAAATCTTTATTAAACTTATCTCATCTATGCTTTTTCTTGAAATTATGTTGGCAGCAATGATTCAACTCTTGGCAGTTTTTGACACCACAGTCAGAAGCGTTGAGAAGTGTTTGTAATGTTTTGTTTCCCCATTTACATACAAGAGTGTTACCGTACACAAACACACACACACGTGCCATCTGGTTTCTCTCATTTGACCATCTATGCATGTTTTAGTTTTTAAAGAATCTTTTCATATTGGTGTTGTTGGGCTAACTTTCGGCCCACAGGTCGGCGGGCCCACCAGAGAGACTCCCACTTCTCCAGATGGCCAGTGCCCCCCCGCTGCCATGGGCAACCTGCGCTCTACCAGCAGAGTTAAACTTGAGAGAATCAGGATCATATAGTGTTAGTTTCTCTTCTATAGTGGCCAATGTGCAGGGAGGCTTTGCGAAATGTAGTAAACATTTCTAAGAGACAAAATAAATTATAGTTGCATATAAATCGAGTGTGCTGAGTTGAATAATTTATGTTTAATTAAAACAATGTTTTATCTGCTTCTGTGTTCTTAAATGTTCTTGATGTGTTCTTGTAGTTTATTAAATACAACCCACATTATTTCGCCCACAAACTGGATTTCGAGAATCGTTACTACCCAGTTATGCATTGGAAGTACATTTTAACCCCATGTGTCTCTGCAGATCGCCCATGGGGATGTTATTGTACAGATAATAAAAACATTTTAAATATGTTAACGCCATTGACTGGGTGTTATATTTTCTTATTTCAGAAAAAGTCAGCAAAGCCAACAACCACAAAGACAACAACATGGTGGGAATAAACAGGTGAGTCAATAATACCTGGTGCTTTTGCTTCATAATGCATTTTCTCAAAATGATTTGAATACAGTATGTGTTAAATTTAGTAGCTGAGTAACTTTTAATATTATGTATCATGTTTCAGTCCGTTTCTGGATGAGTGCTTCAGACAATCACCCTTTAACTCTCGCTCGAAGAGCTCTTCCCCCGCAGAAGCAAGCTCTTCTACCAGGGCACTATTCCACGGTAAGACGCATGGGAAACACACACACACACACACACACACACACTAATGCAACATACTGTAGTAGTAGTGGTAGAGGAACGGACATTTCTAGCAGTTTCTTGCAGGATCATAGAACACGGATGGCCAATATATTTTACTTGTATACTTCTTAAACATCCAAATCAATGAAAGGACTGTGAGGGAAACGCATGCAGACAGCATTATGTAGCCTTTATACTAGCCTTTGGTAAAATGATATCAAAGAACTTCAATTTCTATTCTAGCACGAATTATATGAAGCCTATCACTTTTATAAACCATCGCCATTTTTGTTTTCATACCAAGTCCTTGTTACTCTTTTTAAATATGTAAACCGGGTTCCGGTGGGACCATTCAATTAGTCGGAAACAATCGTGATGATCAGATTATTCACGTTTTGGTCATTTTTCAAGCAGTGGACATTTAGAGTCTTTTGGTTCTGGATGTTGGTTAGACAAGTCAAGCACATTGAAGGTGTTTTAACATTTCAAAGACTAAACAATTAATCAAGAAAATAATAAAAGGATTGATCCATTTTATATTAAATGTTAGTTGTAGCTGCAGTTTCAATATGTCCATACAGAGAGTATCTCCTTCTCCGAAGAAATAATAATAAGACGGAACAAATGTATCTTCAGCTGGCCCAAACAAGACGTTAACTGCCAACACTCATTACGGTTCCATCCTTCATAGTCCAGTATCTTCAAAGACAAGCATCAAAGTCTTCCAGTTATTCTCACTGTAGCTTGAAGAAATAACTGATTATGCAGAGATGCTCATTATACAGTTTCATACATGTGCATGCATATACAGTTAACACTCACACACACACTCTCTCTCTCCCAGAAGCTTTGTAGCCTGCCGTGTTACTCAACCACGAATGAAGACATCTCTAAATCTGAGTGTACAGCCACGAGGACACATCTCAATTAACCACCTCACACTTTACATGATCCCACCCCCCTCTCCCCGTTTCATATTCAGAGCTCCGTCCTCTTCTCTGCCCTCTCACACATTTCCCCAGCCCGGAGGCCTCTGCCCGGGGCATCCCCCCGCTCCCTCTCCTCCCCTCTTCCCTGGCATCCCAGAACTTCCCTCCATGTTCCTTTGGCAGTGAGAGATCCAGAGGTTAATTAGCTTGTGCCAGCTTTGCCTGTCCCTCTGCCAGTTAATGAAAATCTGATTGGCTTCTGGGTGTCAAGAGTGTCCTGAAAGTTAATTCGCCCAGCCCACCTCCCCTTTCCCTTGTGTGTTTAAGCTTCAGACTCTGCTGCTCACTCTTCTACTGTAGTACTATTGTGCTCTTCTCTCTGCTTCATGTGTCTCTCTCTATGCCTGTACATTTTCTTTTAGTGTTTTCTTTTTTTGATCTTCTCTTTCTCCAAAAGTATTTCTAGTTGGAGTTGTAGGAAGGCAGACTTTTATTACCCAGATTTTCTGTTCAGTGGTTGGTAAACCTAGTAACCATTCCTGTTAGTTGACACCACCTTTCCCTTATAACCCAGCATAAATATAGTCAAAGGTTTAGCTAAGTGTATTAAAGGACATGATATTGATTATTATTAGTACACAATAATAATGGTTTGATGAATTGGAAGTTACAATAGGTTGCTGTGTTGTAAATTATATTTTGTATTTGAAAAAACAAGCAAATAATAACATAGTTAGAGTCTTTGACAATTTCAAATAAGGAAAAGAAGTATACGTGTACTTTTTTAGTATATATCATATGATATAAATGTATGTAGAAGTAAAATTGTGCATATTTTCCTTTTTTACGCACGAATAAGTGAGTCATTTTGCTTTAATCTGAGGTTTAGCTAAATCCTTAAATGTATTCTTTATATCCCTCCGTCTCGCTCCTGCTTCAATAGCACTAATAAAGCCATTAACCACCTTCAGGCTCAAGCCACACCCTCACTGGTTTAATCATCAGTGTGTTTGGGGGGTCGTGGTCTTTGCTGCCCGGCTTCTCCTCACCTCGTGCGACCAGGCCGTCCCCGAGTCTCTCTCTGAGTCAGGACAAGTTCATGCTTTATGTGCTAAGCTTCAGCTACACGCACTATAAGAAGATATCTCGACAGGGTTGAGGAATATAAAACCCAAATAATAATATAATAAAATTAGGAAGAAAATGCCTATAAGTAGCACACATGCATTTTGCCTTTATTGTGTGTCCCTCTTTACCATTGAACTGCCTGTGTACATACCAAATAGTTTGCATATGAATACTAACTACTCTCGGGAAAAGAAGTACTATTTTTATTTTGCTTCTCAACAAACAAAGGCACACAACTCAAATGCAGTAGATGCATGTACAGTAGACGGGCACAGTGAGGATTAAATATGTGACACAAGTAATATAGTACCTGAACATTCCAGAAAGGATTCTTTGCTTTTGTGGTACCTTTGCCACCAAACCACCTCATCAATGTGTTTTGTATAAAAAGAAAAATGTAATGTTGAAAAGTGAGTTTAAGACGCTACCAAAACTTGTTGTTTTATTATAAACCGTGTTTAATGTGGCATAAAGATTCCTTTTCTCTTTTGTATCATCCTTTGAAATGATTTCCATCTGCAATCTGAATCAAAACGTTTAGTGAGAACGAACGTTTGTCCATCCTTTATGAACACTGAAAGTAAACTCTTTTTCGGATTCATTGAAAATACAAATATGTTAGCCAATGTCAGTCCGTGTATCATGCTCTCTGAACAATTCATAGACTAGACAAGAGTAAGAACCCCATTTCAATTTGCAAACAGTTGTATAGCCTTATTTAAAAAGTACAATGTCTTTATCCTCTTGCATTACCCTCAGTCCTATGGTGAGGTTAAATTCAAACAGAAACTTAAATTCTTCAGATTCAAAGCAGCTGAAAATAGTTTCTCTCACTCTTTTTATTTCTTTGATTACGGAGTGTAGGGGAGAGGGGGGGGGGGGGGCGTACAGTGAGGAGCGCTACAGTGAAGTGTGTGTGCTGCAGGCTGTAGAGCAGAGGACTGGTGCTGGCTGTTGACATTAAGAATGCATTTGCACTTCATCCCACCCGCAGGCTACACAAGGAGCATCTGTCAAATGGTAGCAGACAGGTTGAAGTCTTGTGGGTTAGCAAATTAACACACAGTGTATCAGTAGTTCTGTTTCACTGAGAGAGAAGGCAATGAGACTTTCCCTGATAGATTACACCATTTTCATTTGTAGATTTGGGCTATTCAATAATTGAACTAGATGTGTCCGTCTGATTCTCTTTTTCCGTCTCTATAATAATTTAAATCTTCTATTGTTGTCTTTTCTGTTTGTCCTGTTGCCATTCCCCCTTTACCTGTCTGTGTATGGGTTACATCCAGAGGCAGAGAAAGCCCAACAACCTCCATAAGAGGATAACCCAGGATCCTATATGAGGAGGTTATAGCTGTGTAAAAAGCATTGTATTATTTATTCTGTGTTTTGTGATTAGCTAGCTGCCAGGTGCTTGTAACTTCATAATTAGTTGACAGACATGAGAGAGCTTATAATCAGATATCCTTTATTTAGTCCCACAGTTTACAGCGAAGGGACAGTTCAGATAAAAGGCAAAAACTAAATTAGTAGGCTTACATATTTAAAAACAAGATGGTATATAAAATAACATATAAGAAGCTAGTGAACTATCAGCCAGTATTTTTTTCTATTACTCTCTGTAAGAAAGCCAAGCACATTTACCAGAATGTCAAAGTATTCCTTAATAAAGATATTGAATGGACTAAACAAGACGGTATCCTATATTGTATCGTTTTAGCTGTTTTACTGGTGTTAAATCTCATAAAAAATTGATGTAAATGTGGAATCCTAGTGGTTATTATACATACTGTACCATACATTTAACTGTTGCTACAACTTTCTCCGGTTTGTTTCGGACCATTGCTGCATCCGCCCGTCTCCCACCGTCTTACTATTGAACTAAAGGCAAAATGAAAAAAAGTTACCAATACCACCATGATCTGTGGCACACGGTAGTTGGTAGTTTCAGCATCAGTCCATAATCAAACTTAAGTTACAGTAGCACGACCTAACAGCATTTGGTCTTCCTGCAGAGGCTTTTGTCTCGGCAGTGAATGATGAGTTTGGTTTTGTGCGTTTTGTGTCCCAGACTCAGAGAAGGACGACGGGGAGCTGGGAAACGGGATCGCCCAGTGGAGACTAAACGAGCAGCTCTTCCCCTGTCCTGTCTGTGGCAAAGTGTTCGGTAGACAGCAGACTCTCTCCAGACATCTGTCTCTACACACAGGTAAATAAAAACACAAATAAGTTGTTTAAGCGTTGTTGTTTTTAATGTATAGCTGTTTGCTGTGTGCGTGCGTGTGTTTGTGTTTCCCACAGTGAGTAAATAAGGTTGACTAGACTAGATTACCCTTCCTTTAAAGAGATTACTACCATGATTAGTCTCACTGGGAAATCTGCCCGTCTAATTACCCAGCTAGAGGGATGCCTCACAGAGTATCTACACACACCCAGAAACACACACCACTAATTCTGATGCAGTCCCGATTGGTTCCCTCATTCACTTTCTCTCTCACACACGGGAGACTTCCCCAGGATGAAGCTATACGCTCCCTTGTGTCCTGATTACACTGTGTTTTTTAAACTTGGCCCTTCTTTGCTCCCAATTGATCCATTCTATCTCATCACTGTCTTCTCCAATCCCTCCCCGGTACTTATTAGGAAAATAAATTAATGAATATCCTGCTCATGCAATTTTATTTAAAGCACATTAACGCTGGATTAGAATTTAATGCAACCTAGTTGGGATTGCAGACTAAATCACCGGGAGCACAAATGGAGACTCGTGTACAAAATGCCCCCACACAATTGGACATGCTCTCACATTTTGCGTGCACACACTACACACGCGCCATCTGAGAGTGTTGGCTGTGAACAGCTTGGCCACACCACAGAGAGCAGAAGCAGGGGCATATGTCAGTGTGATGGTCTTTTTGGTTTCCCCCGGCGACATAAAGGTTGCCTGGCTTCATGTCCGTGGGGCAAATGGTGTGTGTGTTTGAGGCGGGGTTATCGGGAGGGGGGTTAGAGGTTGTGATGATTTTGTTTTTGCTAAATATTATAATTTGATCCATCTAAATGTAATTTTATAGGGCTTGAAAATAAGGTAAAATTGTGTCTATACAGGCTTGATATTTTCACCATATCGTGGCATCTACAGGAATGTCCAGATGCTTCCCTGAAAAGTAGATTTAGTCAGACAACACATGGTGGTTTTTTTTCTTCCTCTTTCCCAGGATCAGAGTTACAGTTGGGGTCAGGCAAAGGTGAGGCAGGGCTAGGCATTAAGCAATTAGGTTTAAGCTTGTTTTAAAGTCTCACAGGCTGAGCGTAACTTAATAAAAAATATAATCTGAGGTAATGTTTACTGTAACCCGGGGTCTCGCGTCTGTGTTTATTTTTGCAGAAGAGAGGAAGTACAAATGTCACCTTTGTCCTTATGCAGCCAAGTGCAGGGCTAACCTCAATCAGCACCTGACCATCCACTCTGTGAAGCTGGTCAACACGGACGCCGAGCAGATCGTCAGCGCTGTGACCGCCGAGTCCGCCGAGCGCAAGAACTGCCTGTACTACTACAGGTAGTGAGAACACAGCAGAAACTCTCTCTGGGATGTCTCGAGCCAGTAGCACAGGATACAATGTTGGCTTTTAAATACAATTCTATCTGCTGCTTGATGCCCAAGTATATCTTGATATCTCTTGATTGAATTACTCCCCACTGCTCTATTTTGTTCATCTGTTTTCAGTGTTCTCTCCCCTTTTGGGAGTAATTTATCTGGAAATGATCAAAATTGAGTTTTATTAGAAAATAAATTCCAGACTCTTTCATTTTGTATATAGAGTATGGAGCTGGAGCTAGAAGACACATAGTCCAAAGGTAAAATAAAAATATCGCCTAAAGTTTCCAAATTTACATTTCCAAAAAAAATAGTTTGTGGAGTTATGAGCTGAAATGTTTCTTCTTCAGGTGACTTCCTGGAGTTGCATGGCATTCTTAAAGAATCCTAAGTGAGCTTTAGATGTATTTATATTGAATTAAATGTATGGTATCCGAAAGGGATGATGCAATTTTTAAAATAGTTTCAATACAGAGCCTGAAGCTTAAATGCTCAACACAATGGTTAATTGCTTTTGCTCATTTTCAGCTCTTGTCGCTGGGCTTTTACATGTTCTGTGTAATTATATTATTATTGTGTATATACAGTTTTTAGTATCATAAAACCACAATACACTACAAATATGGCAATGCAATAAAATACACTGATACAGATACAGTAATGCCAATGGACCTTTTGTTAATTTACAAAACAATTGGCTTAAAATGGGTACAGCTTTTGGTTTGGTCCAAGTACTTGGATTTAGTTTTAAAAGATTGATTATCTGGAGTTAGTTTAAGTTTAGTTAACTGTGTTTTACAGAGTTGACAAACATTTATGGAGGAAAACACATTTAGAGCTATGATGTGGTATAGCTGTTGCCATTAACAATGGTCTTAGTTATTCTGGTTATGTCTTTTTTGGAAAATATACTTTTTTTTTAAAGAAACTCTGGCTAAAGTGTTTACTGTAATCTTTTCCTCAAACTCCCTGTAAGAAAGCAAATAAGTGTATTTCCCCAAATGTACAATACTTTTGCTTTTAATACTTGAGTGACTGAAAGAATTAGCATCATGTCTGCAGTTAATCTTTATTCAATTAATTAAAATGAATGTTTCCTGGCTGTACCACTTACCAATTTATGCAGCCATAATATAACACTAAAGCTGACTGTTTTTCTCGCCATCTCCCTTCCTCTTCCTCTGTTCTCTGTCCAGCTGCCATGTGTGTGATTTCCAGACCGAGCTGAACGCCCAGTTTGTCAGCCACATGTCGCTCCATGTGGACAAGGAGCAGTGGATGTTCTCGCTGTGCTGCAGCATCTGCGAGTACGTCTGCATGGAGGAGAACGACATGAAGAACCACATTAGTACGGGACATGCAGGTACACAATCAGGCTGCATGACAGAGTAATTCAATTAGTTATTTTGGCTATAAAAGATGGGAAAATAGTGAAAAACTCCCATCCTTGTGACATCGTCAAATGCCTTTTTTCTCCCAACCAACAGTGAAAAACTCAATAATATGCAGAAGTAGTGTATAAATTAAATTGATAATCAAAAATAATATAATTTAAAGGTTTTTGAAGATTGGCTAAGGATATGGACTAAATTTGGCAGTTTGAGCGTGATGTTCTCGTGTCTGCTGTTCGTGCAGCGCTCTCAAACTCCATGTACTGGATAGTAGCAAAGTACATGATTCAACCCCGAGAAAAATGCCTTATGGAGTTATTTTCAAAATTACTCTCACATGTTAGAGTGGGTGGTAGCTTACACATTGTGGCTCTTGTTCCCAGCTCAGAATAGAAATACAGTGCAGTACTTGGACAGTGACACATTTTCTATTGTTTTGGCTCCACACTCAAACACATGGGGTTTAAATTTAACCAAAAACGGACGTTAAAGAGCAGACTCTCAGCTTTTAAGGGTGGGGAGAAGTGTAGCCCTTTTAAACATAGTCCCTGCAATTACTGACAACAATAATGTTACTATACCTACAATATGTGTCTGTAAAACAACCTCAATCTGCAGATTATATTTACAATTAGTTGGTGGTTAAACATTTTTTTAAGAATGAACAATGTACACATCGAAATTGCCTGTCTGGACCGACCAATAATCAATAAAATACTGGTATTTAGTTTATCTTTTAATAAAACCAACATTTCAGAAGCTGGTACCTGTACATTTTTAGTGCAGTTTGCTTAAAATAATGAATTAAATGGTATATTGATTGGAAAGAACTTGGCAGATAAATCGATTGACTAAAATAGACTCAGGAATTCAGCACTATTTCCATTTCAGATACAAAAACAAGTCATGTTTCAGGACAGAACCAACATTTATAACTTCTGAAATATAATAAATTATAGCATCTCCTATGCGTTAATACCTTCTGCACTTGTATGTCATTTATATCGTATATTAGTAACGGCACTTCTGCATTTCGTTGGGCTTGTACCTGTAGTCTGCACGGTGGAATCTAATCCCTATTTTAAGGCTGTTCTCTATCTTCCTGGCATTTTACTGTATACAAAACCAGTCATTTTCAAATCAAAACATCCTCATGTGACGGTAACTAACGCTTCATAAACACAGTTCTGTGTCAGTTCAGAGGACTCGGGGAAAGACGAGCAGGAGAACTGGGTTTCTCTTCAGGTCGACCTTCTGTGGACTTTTAAAGCTGCTGGGTTGAACCTCTGGTGGTCGATATGAGTGTTTTTGTTTAAAACAGCTTTGTCCAGTTTATTGCTGACGTTTTGCTCTTCCACTGTTCCTCCGTGTGAGTGTGTGTGTGGTGCTTGTGTGGGTGGGTGGGATTGTCCGGCATAGACAGCTGAGGGGTCTTTCAGAGGCCACGGTGGCCTTGTTTATCTGAGAAGGTTGGCCCTTATCGTGCCTGAGGGGAAAAAATCAATAGGCCTCGGTTCCTTTGGAGACGAGCTGGGTTTACGATGCCACTGTGGCCATCTTTTAAGTCTCTCAGCCTGGCTTGGCATTTATCTCAGTCTCACACAAGATGGACACCACCACCAAACACACACATCATGTACAGGAGTGTGGCTTATATTCACACTTTCTACCTTCTACATGTGGACTTTTTCATGGTCCAGCACTGTTTTGTTAAAGTGTGTATTCTTCAGAGAGTAAGGTAGACGGAGCAGCACTCAGAGTGAATGCTGACAGACTGTAAAAGGCTAGTTATCTGGTCAACTGTGTAGAGAAGACCAGGCATGAGATGGATGAGCTCAGCAGGAGTCGCAGTTCAAGCTGTGAGGACTGGACTCGACTTGGGGAAAAGGTTGGTTGGGTGCCCTTCTCCACGGGGGGGGAAGGAGCTGAATTATGTGACGGTTTTACTTAATATCTACCCTGGGTACTTTTGGCAGACCGGCAGACTTGGCCTTTTTATTTCTGTTCTTATGTCTTAAATAATGCCAGACGATCATGGACGAAGTTATTCTGTAAAAGGAATATTTTTCAATAAAGGTGTATTTCAAGGTCAAGGCCCAAGCACCTTTTTTATTTTTTTATCCTTCCCCCTTTTTTTGCTCATATTCTGTGGCATTAACCTTTTGAATATTGTAAGAGAAGGCAAGTGTATGTTAAATACTGCAGCAGAGCAGATACAAGCTCCCTCCAGCTGGTTCAATACCGTATTCAAGATGCTACTGTGAATGACCCTGGTTTATTTAGATTTGATTGAAGGCAATTAACCATATCTTCCGTTTAAAGTATAAAACGGTGTGTGTGCACAGCATGCAGGCATCCTTGTGTGTTTGCCGGCGTTAAAAAGATAGGTCAGCCATTTCAGGCTCCTTGCAGCCTTTTCTCCCTCCTTTCACTCCCTCCTGAGTGAATGCCCTTTGTTGAGCAGTGCCCTGAGATGCTCCCGCCATCTTAGCTCCTTCGGCCATGACCCACGCTCCTCACCCCTCCCTCCCTCGCTCCTTCTCGCCCCCCCCCCTCCCCTTCTAATTCCATCTCTCTGCCGAGTGAATTACAGACTTCGAGAAGGAGATCAATAAAAAGCCCACTGCATCTTGATTTGATGGGCAGCAGGGCCTCAGTCAGAGCACAGGGCGATTGAGGCTGCCTGCTTCTCTTCGGTTTGTGTGTTCGTGCAAGTCATAACGGTTCAGATTCTTCAAGATAAAGGATACCCTGACATTTCTGCAGGGTTTCAGTTTATATATTTTCCTATTAGATGGAGGGGCTATATTTCTCCCCTAAGACTATTTTTCGATCATACGAATACAAATATCTCACTTTCTGCTATCTGTCCTCTTGTGTCCAGGTCTGAACTCGAGGAGTCCCCTCAGCGAGACCAAGAGCACCTCCTCGTCCCTCTCGGCCCTCAGCGACTCACTGAACAGCTGCGAGGGCGGAGACCTCACCCACGTTAACGAAGAGCTCAGGGGTCTGCTCGCCCTGCCCTCCTCTGCCGGCAGCCAGTCCAGCTCTGGGAGCCACTCGGGGTCCGGAACTGAGGACAAGTCTGAAAAAGGCAAGGAGTTGTGGGTTCATGTGCACTTCATAATTGTAGTGCATCTGAAAAGTTATCTTCAACAATATACATTATATTCAATACTGACTAGGCAAAACTACCATTTAAAGAAAATGTCAGGTATTATGTCAGAAACTCTTTGATTAAGAGTGATCAAAAAACCCATCAGTATCATGGAATTCTAATTAAAAATAATTCTATTGGACCTGTCTTCTCTCCTGTTTCTGAACTCCCTTCCTGTAGATAATGATTTACGTGATTTCCCTCTGAAGAGCCAACCCAGACTCACCCTCTCTCCTCTTTTCCTTCTCCACAGGCTTCGAGTGTGTCTTCTGCAATTTTGTGTGCAAGACGCGTAGCATGTACGAACGGCACCTGCAGATCCACCTCATCACGCGAATGTTCGAGTGCGACGTCTGCCACAAGTTCCTCAAGACGCCCGAGCAGCTGCTGGAGCACAAGAAGTGTCACACCGTCCCCTCCGGAGGGCTCAAGTAAGGAAAGCAAGTACAGACAGAGGTTCCTAACTCCCCCCCCCCCCCCCCCCCCCCCCCCACCCCCCCCCTCCCTCACCCTGTCAATTCATTACTTACATAAACACATACAGTACATACACAGTCATAGTTAGGCTGTGCAAGTTACTGCATATTTGAAAGTTGCTTAATTAGGCTAAAACTCAACCATCAGGCACAAGGGTTTTATTCATTGCGTCCACTATTTAACATTGACTTTCCTAAAATGATGTCACATGTGGTAAAGGCGTACACAATCATATTTCTTTCAAATAGGAGCTTGTCACAGTCATACAGCTGAAGACAGGAACACGATTTGAGGTCTATTTAGAGCCATGTGTCCTTAATCAGCTAACCTCACTTCCATGTTCGTTATCTGCGGCCAGAAGAGGAAACGATACAAGCTGTAGTTTTGCTCGACAGCTTCTCTTGGCAGGTCTAAGTTATTAGACAGTGGTCCCTGTGTCTGAGTGGCTGCTCTGAACAGAAGGGAGAGTGGAAAGGATGGAAATGGGCTTCCCCTCAGGGTCTGTTGTTCCACTGCCCACAGCTAGCAGCCATGCCAAAGAAAAATATCTGAAGCATTGCATTCCAGAAACCCCCCTCCCCCGAATACAGACACTTGTATAAAATCTGTTGGCACACCTCGAGAGAACAAAACATTTAGAACAAGCACAAACGTCAGATCTGTAGCATTGATCAGTCTAGGTCTGTACAAAGGTAACCCTCTCTAAAGTTCAATTTGGCCAATCAGATTTCCTTCAGCAGGATACACATAACTGTAGTAAGATACATTATAATATAAATACAAGTGTATGCTGTTTTGTTTTTTTAGGTAAAATGCACTTCCAATTAGGGCTGCTCAATTAATCGTATTTTAATCGCAATTACGATTATGGCTTGCAACGATTACGAAAACAACGTAATCGAAATAAAACGATTTTTTTTAAATAATTATTATTACTTTTTTTTTTTTTTTTTATATAATTTTTTTTTTTTTATTGGTCTTTCAGTTGAATTATACTTAAAGTTCAGGGTAATCAACTGTTAAAAACATACTGTTCAAATGTTTTCTCCAATAAATGTATGTTTTCAAAGTAAATGGATAATCGTTTTTAATAATCGTGATATCAATTATTGACCCAAATAATCGAGATTATGATTTTTGCCATAATCGAGCAGCCCTACTTCCAATTGTAGAATCCCTAATAATGAATTATAAATCTCTTGAAATCAGCAAAAATACAGAGAGGGAAAAACGGTTGAATTATTTTTAATAGGTTGTGATGACAGCACTGATATAAACATTGTCGTTAAGAGTATTCAAATATGTCATAGTACAACATTTTATTAAGAAAAAATGAAAATAAATAATAGTATGAGATGCTATAAAACCTTCACATTAAAGTATGTCCTGACATTGTTTTCAGGTAATTATATAATATGTCATAAAATATTTTTTAGGTCTTAAAATAGTCCTTAAGAAATATCTAGTACAATATATCATAGAATACTATTACAAAAATGTTCGTACAAAAAGAAAATCATAGTTTATTTATAAAAACTTATAAAATGTATGAAAATAGTCCTTGTAGATTCAGTGTTTTTGCAGGAAGTCAGTGAAACCTGAAATATCAAGAGAGTGTTTCACTGAAAAGCGGAAGATATGTTTGCAGCTGTTTTTAAAGACAGCTGAAAAATAATCTTGGCCCACTGAAGTTTCAGTTTTGGCCCTTTGAGGGGTAACGTTCTGGACTACACATGGTCATAAACACACATCAAGCCACTCGTATATAAACCAAAACGAATGCATGGCTTTTGTGCAAGGAGTAACTCTAATGAAATGCTTTAAAAACATAATGTGCAAACCTATTTCAGACCACAGTTTGCATCCCAACCCCCTACATATAGCCATCTAATTTTATCATATCTTTGATAAGGCAGCCTTGCTTTCCTAACACTGATTGGCTGTTTTGTCGCTCTAGTCTCCCCACATGCCTCCCCCTCCCCCCCCCCCCCCCCCCCCCCCCTCCATCTCCATACTCCAGTCCCTCAGGAGCCTTTGTTGTACTGTCACTCGTTTATGTCCCATTTCAGGTCTGTCAAGCCAACATAAAGCCTGTGTGTCGATCTGAACCACCACAACACACACTGATGTTAGTTTTTAAGTTGACAGCATTTTGGATACTGCAGTAATTAAAATATTTTGTAAAAGATTCATTTCAAGCAACACACAAGCCATTTTCTGTTTTTTAAGTTGTTCTCATAACTCCAGCTGTGCATGTGCAGAATCATTATGGTTATCGCCTCATCTTGTCATAAACAAAGATCTGTGTTTTTTTATCCTATTCTGTGCAGCCATCAGTGGATTTAGGATGTTTTAAACATTGCTAAATATCTGGAAATGGTAGCATATCACTAAATGTTAAAGCTACCATCACAGTTACATATTATTACTTATATGTATATACATATATCCTGTGGTTAACAGAAGACAAACACATAAGAAGCCCCTTTAGAGCTCAAAGATCTCCACACAGCATCTCTTAGTCTTAACTTGAGGAGTTGCTGCTAGCTGTAGTGTGTCAGTGAATATATATAACAGTTTTAAATGTTTCTTCTGTCTGGTGTTAATGTTTTTGAAGCCAGATTCTTTAAGCTGTCGTTCAAAAGGGAAAGAAGCAGGTTGTGGATATTTTAGATTCTTTGTTTTAATAAGGGAGAATCAAAAAAGAGAGGGAAGAGCTGAGGTCCTTTGGTATATTTTATATTTAAATGTATCAGAAAATGTGCTTTAACTTCTTTGCTGTACTGTTTATATCTTCACATGTGAGTTATACTTCCACTTCAAGGTTTACATAGTCTCTTAATTTATGTAAACCACATTATATTTACTGTTAGAAGCAGGCCAGCTGTAGAGTCAGTTATTGGACATTAGGGGTTTTAGATAACCTTGTAGTGCCTACATTTTCTGACCTCAACATCCAGATCAAGGTTTATTTTTTCTCGACTGGTGTGCACACGTGTATACACTCGAGCAATGTGAAGTGTGTCTATGTAGGAGTGTGTAGAAAGGGAGAGAGGGCCTTGACCATTTCGAGGTTTTTCTGAGGTGATTCTGTTCTGCAGGGTTTGTGAAGCGCTTTGGGGCCCAGAGCAGATGAAAGGTGCTATTTAAATGTAAGTGCCACTCCATTCCTTCATTTCCCTTCATGTCCTACTGCTCCAATCTTTTCTCCAGCCTGTCACCCCCCCCCCCCCTCCTCCTCCACCACACACACACATACCTGATCACGTCAATTATCCAACCATTAAACTGCCACACATACCACCATGAGCACACAGAACTCCACATGACACACACTTTACCTGTCCTTCTCCTCCTCTCCATCATTTTGTGTGATTATATTTCAAGGTATGTTATAGATTTTTTTAAATGTAAATTCCCTTCAACTGTCCTTTGCTTTTTTGTGTCGTGTCCTCCCTCCCTACTTCCCCTTTCTGTTGCATTACCCAGGTGCCCTTTCTGCATCTACTCCACCAATCGACCAGCGGCCATGGAGTGCCACCTGAAGACGCACTGTAAGATGGAGTACCGCTGCCGCATCTGCCAGGGCCTGTGGCCCGACCAGGCCTCATTGGAGGCCCACATGCGCGGGCACCGCCTGGGCAACCACTACAAGTGTGAGCAGTGTGGCTACTTGTCCAAGACGGCCAACAAGCTGATCGAGCACGTGCGTGTGCACACGGGCGAGCGGCCCTTCCACTGCGACCGCTGCTCTTATAGCTGCAAGCGCAAGGACAACCTCAACCTGCACAAGAAGCTGAAGCACGCGCCGCGCCAGACTTTCGGCTGCCAAGAGTGCCCTTTCACCACCACACACCCCTTCGTCTTCAGCCGCCACCTCAAGAAACACCAGAGCGGAGGAGCGGGGGGACTGGACGGGGGTCTGGGAGAAGAAGAAGAAGAAGAAGAAGAAGGGGAGGAAGAAGATGAGGAGGCGGGAGAGGAGGAGCTGCCACTCCAGGGATCCTCACCAGGGGGCTCCTCGCTGCGGACGGGTCAGGAGAACTTCCTGTTCTGCAGAGGAGGGGGGAGCAGCGGGGGGAGTGGGAGTAACAGCCCGCTCATGAGCCTGACGGCGTCCCAGGCGCTGCAGTCCGTCGCCCTGTCCCTCACTCTGGGTAAGCCCCAGGGCGCCGGCGGCCCCCTGCACTGCTTACTCGGCACTAACGGAAACAGCGGTTGCAGGACCCCCGGCGGCCCGAGCGGCGGCCCCTCCCTCTTCTTCCCCTCCTCCCGCCACCTGTTGGAGCAGTACAGGAACTACGACCGGGCGCACCTGATGCCCCTCACCACCCTGTTCACCCAAAACAGCCGCTTCACATTCCACTCGCACCCCCACTCCAGATGGCGGCCCGCTACCTCTCCTCTCCTCTTCGCCTCCAACTCGGCGTCCCCCTCCCGCTCTCCACACTCACCCTCCTCCCACAAACACTCCTTCATGGCCTACCTGGGACTGATGGAGAGAGCCAAGACTGTTTGACCTCACCCTGCTCACCCTCCTCGTCCTCCTCCTCCTCCTCACCCTCCCCCTCCCTCCTCGGACGGTGGTGTGAATGACACTGAACCACCGCAGTGGGAGCCACGTCTTTTCCAATCAGAACCAGCAGGATAAGCTGGACCAGACAAACAGATTGAAAAAAAGAAAGGAAACATTTATAAGAGAAAAAGGCTGTACATGCTAAAAATGCATTTATATCAAAAAGCTGCTTTTCTTATCAGTTCTATCAATTGAATTATTACTACTTCAGCTACTACTCTCTATTACCTTATTTTCCGTTTTTAAATGTCTGAATGACTTGGACCCAGTTGCATTATCTGAGGAAACTAACGTATCTCAGTTTTATAGATTTGTTTTCGTTAGTCGTTTGACGAGATAAAAAGATGAAACAAAACTTGCAAGTGCTATATTTTAGTGCATTTTTGTCTATTGCTATTATGCATCGAAATAGCATGCCTGTGTTTCAACTAGCTTTGACGTCATTAGGAAGCTACATTTGAGATATCCTGAAGTGTTAGCGGTGCAACGTGGACAGAACCAATGAAACGGATTGCTTTTCATTGTAAAAGGCACGTTTCCAAAGCAACGCCTCAAACCACGCACTTACTTATTTATCAGTCTTGTACATAGTTTTGTAGCCCCTCCCCCTCCCATCTTTTTGATTTCTGTTGGATTTTTGTATAATGGTGAAAACATGTTATGCATAGCAGCTGCCTGATATCACCTCTGTCTCAGAATATCCTTTAAATGGATAACTAGCTCATTTCAATCGGTTTTTTTGTAAGCTCACCAAACAGAAGATAAGCTGTGATAATGTAAATAAGGAGAATCTGACCTATCATGAGGAGAACTATCGTACATTTATTACTAATGATTTGAATATAAACGTAAGATGATGACAATGAATTTGCACTTACAGATAAATAAGCGGTGAATTATAGAGACATTTTATTTCTGAGACCAGGTGGTAGCGGCGCAGCTTCACATGCAGAACGGTGTATCACGCACCTATACTTAGAAGAGATATATGAGATAACTGTTTTGTGGAGGTGACCAGCTCTGGGTTAGCGAGCTTCCCACAGCCCCGGTCACCACAGGCCGATTCAATGGTGCTTTTTGGAGCTTTTTGTAATTTTTGTGTACAAAAAAAAAGAAAAAAACTGTTCCAAAATGACTTGAATGAATGTATTTTTGTTTATGTACATGAAAAAGAAGCGATACAGAAGTGTGAACAGGGACGTCTTCTGTGCTGGAAAAGACGGGAAAGTTAGTGTGTTTGGTGGCCTTCTGTGTCTTTTGGGTTGTTTTTCATTTTTTTTTTTTTTTTTTTACTTTTTTTACTGAGCCTTTTACATCATAATAAAACATTTTCTACTAACATTCATAAGAGAACCCATCGTGCGAAAAAGGTCCTGTAGGTGCAATGATGAAGCAAAGCCATTCACTTGTACAGCGTTGTGTTCAATGGCTTCTGTTAGGCCCGGCAGACATGGTACTGCTTTTTGTCCCTCCTTTTGAGTTTTAATTGCACTTAATGTAGTTACATTTCAAGCCAAAAGCACTTAAACCTTTAATTTTCCTTTTTTTGAAGTGCAAACTTAGATCCACCATGTCACCATAATGTGAAGTGGACAGTTGTTGCTGTAAATGACTCAATCAACACCCCTTAGTTTCACATGTAGGCGTTTCTAGCAGTGCAAAAGTCCTGCCTGTGTGAAATCAGAGAACGTAAATTAATACAAATTGCACGAATTAGACGGTAGAGGTCAAGCTCTCCCTGGGTACTAAAGGTCCCAGGCTAAATTGTGATAGCCAGTTTTGCACAGTGCTGCACTTTTTGATTAAGAGAATATGTATTTATCCGTAAAATGCTCAAAAGGAGGTATGTTTGCGAGATACGGCAGCAAAGTACAAGCATTTTATTTTGAAATAAAGCTTTACCCTATTCATAGCGCCTGTGTTTTTAAGTGGTCTTCAAGCCAAAATCCCTTATTGTAAAAGGGATTGTTTTTTTATGTTCCTTATGTTCTCCGTGTGTCTATTGTACTCATGCATTTTCTTATATGGAATCATTGTTGCTTTTTATTTTATTTTTCTACTTAACTATGTCAGAAAGATGTTGATTGGACAGAGAGATCATGAATTGTCGAGACCAAAATGTAACTCGCGGCAGGACGTGATGTTAGGATTGAATCCGTCACGTCCTGCTGTGGAGCGATGCCTCGATTGTCCCCTTTACACTGTTTGTTTGTTCCTTTTTGCTCTATCAATGTCTGGCATGCTGTCTCTGGAGTGAAAGGAGCATCCTTCCAACACACACACACACACACACACACACACACACACACACACACACACACACTCACTCTCTCTTCTTGTACTATCTCTGTTATCTTTTATACTCTAGTGCCACTTGGTGGAAGGAAACCACCTGAGACTTCTGAGAATGAGTCAAACTAATTGTCAGGGTCCAAAAGATTTAAGAAAATTTAAGATAAAAAGAATGTGTCTACTCTTGACACCTTTTTTTTTTAAATGTCTGCCTTTTTTATTACAGCGTAATCATGAATGGCTGCACTTCTGTATGCCCCCCCCCCCCTAGTTTGAGTGTAATGTTAAAACAGGGCTCTATCTGTTTATAAAACCAATATTCTTAAGCACTTATTTTTATTTTGCCCATTTGTAAGTCGCACAGTGACCTTTTCTTTAAGAAAAAAAAGCTTGACTACCTTTTCAGCACTTCAGAGTATGCATGAAATTGCCCTCTCTAGTTCTTCAGCACTTAATTGTGTTTAAAACTAACCCCCTCGGTTGCATTTAGTTAGCATCACACTGCACTGTCTACAATCAGTTAGCTTTAAGTTTGGCTGTACGTTATGATTAGAAAAGGCTCAGCTATCTTATCTTTTGGCACTCGGTAAAGATTGGTATGTGCTGTACAAAGCTTTTTTTTATTACTCCATTGTTAAGGCTGTACAGGGTTGTGACGATAACTGGTAAATAGATCATTTGTACTTTTTTGGTTTTGTATTTGTTTTTCTTTGTTTGGCATTATTTTATGTTCAACTTGCCAGGTCTAAATGTAACAGGATTTGAAAGTAAAGCTTACATCAGATATTACGTCAGTGTTTTGTCTTCTCTCTTTCTTCTAATGGTATCACAAATGTTTTCACGACATCAGTCTTACACTTTGCTAAAACACTCAACAAAACTGTTATTTTCCTATCTCTTCTGTGAATACTTAAGGTATCAAAAATACTCATTGTCTCTTATTTCTTAACAACAAACACTTTAGTATGTGTGCTAGATATAACGGATCGCTTTAACACCCTCAACCCCATGCAACTCACAGATATGTGTATAAATGTTTAAATCGTTATTTAAGTATTTAAAGTCCAACACTTATACTAAAACATACAAGTTCAGTGTTTGTATCATTAAATAAAAGGATGCAACATCACTTGGATTAAACGCATTTTTAGTCTGGACATAAAAATCCTCAAACAAACTTTACAACTATTTATATTAAAATGATTTTCTTTCTTTTTAAAGATTTGGCATAAAAAACACTATATGCACTGGTACATACTTAATGTATAGTATGTACTAGTAAAATAGATCCTACACATTAAAAACCAATCCTTCAGTTTGGATATGGTCGAATGATCTTCTAGGCGTGTCCGCGGGGTCTTAAAAAGTATTAAAAGTTGATAAAATGAAGGCTATTAAAAAGTATTAAACGGCATTTTCCAAGGTATTACATTTTGTAGCTTGTTTTCAAAAAGTATATAAATTGTCCAAAGAGGTTGTATTCTACAGTGTGCCTGAATGTAATCATTGCGTAGGTGTGTAGTGTGATTCTGTGTAGTTTATTTATGGCATCCCGTTGGATTTGACGTCATCTGAACAGGACGCACGCTCACTGCTTGATAGCGCGCGAAGGTCCGTTTACGCCGGTTGTTAAACAACATCGTTATGGGGAAATGCAAGTTCGCGTCCAAATGGTTGGAAGATAAGGAGGAAGGACAATCAATACTGTATATAGTAAATGTGAGGTAAAGTGCGTCGCCAATGTAATCGGTTAAAACTCAAAGTGGCGATGAGTTCTTAAAATGTATGGAAAGGGTCTTAAAAAAGGTCTTAAAAGGTATTACATTTGACTTCAGGATTCCTGCATATACCCTGATATAACTCATTGTAAATCAAATGGATCACATTACAACACCATGTCACTGAGAGTCGAAAACTAATATTGAATATTCCCTTGCCCAAACAAAGGATCCTCCTTTCAAGCTCACATTCAAATTATCTCACAAGGAGTACAAACGAGAAATAACCTCAAATTCTGCCAAGAAGAAAACCAAGAAATGCAAAAGCCTTGGATTCAATATTCCTCTCTGAAAGAAAAGCGAGTAACGACATGAAAATAAACGCTGAGAAGAGATGAGACGCGTGTTTCAGAGCAGGAAGGGCAGCAGATATCATTCAGTGAGGAGAAGGGGACATGATTTAAGGATCAGCACTGATCATCTTTGAGGGACATGGCTTCCTCTCATTTATAAAGCTGGCGTGCCATCATAATAATAAGGGATAGGATCTGTCATGGTGTCTCGCTGGTGTTTTTATTAGACCGATGGGAGGTCTCTCTCCCTCTCCTTCCTGTGTTGTAGTAATGAAAGTTACAGCACGTTCTCGCCCAGCCAAAGGTTGGCCCTGCCTAATGAAAACAGATGAAGCAGAGATAAAGTGTTTGCCGACATTAAGGGACTCATTTATCACCGTTAGCCCCCGAGCTATAGAACACCTTGGTCTGGAGCTCTCCTTTAACAGGCCCTGCCTCAAAGCACCCTGGTGGCACACTGCAGCCTACCGTGCACACCTCTTTCTCTCATACTCTATGCAGCTTGAACAGCTTGTATCACTGTTTACAGCTCCATATGTATACAGTGTCATCCACAGCATTGATACAAGCTGCAGTGAGGTTTTAGCTATAGAAAAGAAAAGGCTTTAGAGGAACCTTCATACAATGTCAAGGATGTTGCAGTCCTTGCGTGCCCTCTGTGTTGACCCATGTGGGTTCAACAGCCATCCCAAGTCCTCTGTTGAAGGGCCATGTTCTCATCTAGTCGCTCATCTCGCCTGTGTAATAATGAATCTTTTCGGCTGTGTTTAAAGCTGCTTAATTAAGTTCAAAGCAGTGCCCGGGGCACCGTGCGCTGCTCAGCTGACCTCCCTATGAGTGGAAGTGTTGATTAGGAAGTGAGGAGACATGCAGGCACTGCAGGGGATGGCTATTGATTGAAAGGATAGAAAAGCTCATTTGGATTTTGTGATTGGAAAACCGCACTGTACACAGAGAGCTGTTTTTCTTCATTTAAGGAATAACAATAACTGCGTCCCTGCACTGACAGTTTGCAACTAAGTGAGGAATTTCTTTGATAAGACTAAGTGCTGGAGTTTTCCTCATCCCAATAATAGCCCTTCACCCCGGCCCGAGTTGTCTGCACAATGTCGACCTTTTCGACACCACCTCGCGAAAGTTGGCCGCTGTCGATCGATAGCGTGTTAGCTTTTTGTTTGAAGGTTCAGGCTGCCTTGGCTTTATTACAGCTGCTGAGAGTCATGGGGGAGTCGTGCACGGCTTTGTGAGAGAGGAGCTCCCTCTTGTTTGCCAAAAGTGTAATCCCGCCGTGACCCGCCGTGACCCTGCCCTGAGAGGAAAGCTGCTTAGACAGAAGTGCGTGTCTGTGGGAGCTCCCAGCTGCCTGGCCTGTCTCTGTCTCGCTTTTTCCTGCTATTTCGCTGACCACATATACCTCACCCAGCCCTCCATATACATCTTATAACACACAATCTCTCCTTTTCCCCTCACTCAATACTCATTTTCTCCACTTCTGTTTACCTCCTCATCTCATACAGCTAACTCCATGCATGCTACACTCAGCCACAATACTTCCAGGACTCCCCCTCCTCACCGTACCTCCTCCAACATCAGGGTTTTTACTCTGTGAAGGAGCCGAGGCTTTGCTAAGTGGAGACAGATCTTTTCTCCAAAAGAGAGAATAAACACACAAAGTCCTGCCATACCCGGCCTTCAGTACGGGCTGCAGAGCAGGACCACTGGCACACAGGGAAGAGAGAAAATGAAGGAAGAAAATGACCTCTGAAATCGATTTGGCATGGGTTGAAGCCAGGGCAAAAACTACGCAGAACAAGGCTCCACTGAGGCTGCTTGTTGATTCGTAAATCTATTCATTTAAAAAAGAAATGAGGCACCGAAACGAATTAGTGAATATGAAATTCCATGTTTATTCAGTCCTTAATAGTGGGTAGAAGTCTGGAGAGGCTAAAGGAAACACATGCAGTTTTATGCAAAGTGCAATCCAAAAACAAAGATATCAGTTTCAAGCGTGTGCAAAAAAAGACAAAGCACAGTGAAGCTCCACCTGAGGGACGCAGAGAGAGAGAGAGATGATCTGAGAGGCTCGTGCTGCCGTCACTCACTGCCAAAGGCTTGTCCTCTCGGGTTGGACACGCATGGGGGGACATGTATTTACATGCATGTTTGGTGCGCAGCCTGTGGGCATAGCATCAGTGCCTGCCCGCCCCCCCGCCGTGCCCGTTCCCCATTCTCTGGGGTGAGACATCACTCTGCGGGGGTCAGCAGAAATCTGATTCAGGAAGCCCTGCAGGGGGTGTTGGGTTGCGGGGGGGGGCGAGAGAGGGAAGGGTTTACCCAAAAGTCCCCGGGCCTTACACATCCAGACTCAGGGCGGCCTGAACCAGCAGGGAGGACAGATCATACCCCCCCCGCTGGGTGCTGCCTCAAATACACAGCTACTCCTAGGCCACTCCAACTGGATGGCCAACACATTATAGGAGAAAGAAAGAGGGGGGGGGAGTAAGGGAGGATGGTAATGGGTAGAGGAAGAGCAGCTCTTTTTAAGTATGACCATGTCTTTGAAATAGATAGGACACAAGCCAGCCAACTCCCCTGTTGTTAAGCTCCGCTGTTACCATGGCATTCTATGACAGTCACCAGACATAGGTTACTTGGTTTCTATGGGTAACAGTTGGCACTTCATTCACATCTTCTGTGACGACGAACCTAAAGATAACACCCACAGATTCTCAGCATCTTACAAGTCAAATCTCTCTGACTTTGACACAAGATGTTCATTTTAAACATCTACACACACTTTTCTGTTTTTTTATCGCTTTCGCTTGTGACATGCTCCCATTTCAGTGATTCTGCTGAGACCTGAAGTGAGGAGATTTACTTATAGAGAGCTTAACAGAATAGCCCAAGGTCAAGCCCAAACTAATCAGCCTCCTCATTTCCCTGGATGGAGTAATGAAGTAGAACGCTGACCCCCGGCTGACCCTGGGAATCTGTAGCAGGGAAAACTGGCCTGGAGACCAATTAGCCTAAAGTAAACGGAAATATTTAAACAGAGCAGTCATTTATTAATAAATACGATCCGAGTCATCCAAAAAAACTGCATCAAAGCGCTTTAATGTGCCTTAATGTGAAGAGAAGGGTTTACACTAAATGTCACAAAACCTTAAACTCTGAGGGATAAAAAGCTGCTTTTAGTCTGTTTCCTAAAGATGATTTGTTCTGAGGGTTGATTACAACCCGAGTAGCTCTCCTAATTATCTCATGCACTTGAGCTTTTAATGATTTCCATGATTCAATTATCCCTAACTGAATTCCTGTCTTCAATCAATTAAAGCCATAGCAGCACACTCATCCATCTTCCAATCAGGACATCGGGAATCCCTCCATCCATTCTCATTTGAGAAGGGAGTGGGTCAAACAAATTAACAGAGATCGCATCCATCCATGTCGTCTCGTCTTTTTTCACATTTTCTAACCTTTCTGTTACTTTTACTTTTTAACTCTCGTGTGTCGTGAATCTGTTCAGGAAGAATCACTGGATGACTTGTCTTGGATCAACAGGATTTGCACAGATTATTCCCAATCACAAATGATTGAAATTGCAGTTAAATATTGTTCTATTCACTATAAACAGTAACCATATGTTTCTCCTACTACAGTGACCTCTCCCTCACACAAACCAGTGCTGTGCTGGTGTGTATAATGTATTCTACTGAAGCCTTC